GGAGCTGCGTGCTTGGGAGGGGTTTTCGCTTTAGCCGGGAGCCAAGCACGAACAGCCACGCAGCCCCCGGCTGACCCGGGTGATCCAGTTTCCAAGCACGCGCTGCTTTTAGACTGTACCACCTTGAGCCCCACAGAGGGCAGTCAGGCCAGATAGCTTGCCACCCGAACTTCAGAGCTGCTGGTACAAAATTCTTTGTTGCACGTGGAAAATGCAAAGCAGCTGCTGCGGGGTCACAGATTGACCTGAGGCTCTTTTACGGCTGCAGCATGAGCATGAAATACCATAGGTGGGTGTTTAGAATGTCTTTGCTGATCAGTTCTGTTACCATAAATACTCCATCTAGATGTCCCTGGTTTGCTAGAACCCAAGGAATGTGAGGTTTACCTTCAGACAGCTGAAGGAAAAGGTGAACCGCAGCCCGGTCTTGATTAAGACCTCTGAAGGGTTTCCACAGAAACTACAGTGGGCCCGTGCCTCAGCAGATTTGCATGCTTTTCCTGGCCAATTTAAGAGCGCGAGTGCCTGACGCTCAGATTTGGTTGGCATCACTTTTTCCCCTTGCAGTCAAATGAATGTGGCCCTTAATGTCAACAAAGGCAACGCAGAACGGAGTTTTGAGCTGCTTGGACTGTTTCTTCACCTTTAGCTGTAATAATAGTCCAAGCAGACCCACTTAAACCTAAACTCATCTTGTTCCGCCTCTAATAGGGTCAACCCTGTTACCTGTTTTTTTCAGGTAATGGTAATGGTCAGAATAAGGAAAGAAAAAGTGGTGCCAGATTGCACCATTCTGCAGGATGACACGACTGCCTGGCCTTGGTCCCTTGTAGACGGTCAGCCAGCGGTTGCAGCGGCGCTCGTAGTGGCATAAAACCCAGCCGGAAGGAGGAACCGCAGGCTTTTGACAGAAGGCCCGAGAGAAGCTTCCCGGGCCACGTGCCATCTCTTTATTTGGTCCCTAAGAGCAAAGCAATTGCAACCAATTAGTAAGCGTTCTGTTGGGCTAATCATACATTAACATCAAAGGAGCTGTTTTTGCATTGTTTAAGGCAGCCTTTACTGAAGAACAGGTTGCTTTCACTTGGACATACCCATAGCCTGTCGTTTGGCTAAGACAGAATTATGGTGCCCTGGAGCACCGGCCTGCTGGTTCCTTCGCCATCCCCATTTCAGAACGGGAAAGGTCTCCTCAGTTGCTCTGGCGCGGATGCCCAGGGCCACAGCCCGTTCTTCTCTGGGGCTTTGCCATCACCGCTGGGTTGCTGAAGCGGCAGCTTTCCTAACTTGCGTTATAAGACTCTCCTGCTTCAGTTCAGGAGCATCTCAGATGGAGAACAGATCAAGCATCTCCCTTGGCTTGAAGGCTCAAGTCCCTCCCCCTGATCTCTTGCCCTGTCTGAGAGCTGCGGGTCCAAACGTTTGGGCCCCAGTGTCGCTGTCACGGGCCCCAACAATTGGATACGCACGTGATCAGAGGTGCTGTCGCGTGTTTTTCCTCCAGTGTGATCTATGCCACCCTCTTCCAGCAAGGCCCCTCTGGGGCCTGTGCAGGGCAAACAGGCCACACTTTGCACAAGAGAACCAACAGCCACATGTCTGACATCAGAAGAAGGACAAAGTCACATCAGAGCATTTTAACCTTCCCAGGCACTCTGTTGCAGACCCCAAAGTGGTCATTTCGGAAAAATGAGACTTTAACAGCACCTTTGGGCAAGAGATTGCTGAACTCAGATACATCAGAAGGTTTCAGGCAATCCCGGAATTGGGGTTTTAACATGTTACAATCGTTAACTGACCCGGTACTTGCAATCTGTCTCACACGTAACCTGCATCTTGCCTCCACAGCCTGACTTCCCCTCCATTCCCATTCACCCCTGCTCCCAGTTCAAATCCTGCATCAGGCCAGCCCCTCTGTGCATCTGATGAAGGGAGATGCTGCTCCTGAAAGCTTCTGCATTCTGCCAGTTTCATTAAAATTGGATAGTTGGAAAAGGGGCTATCCTTCTCAGGTGCCTCCTCATCCTCTGCCACCACAGACTAACGTGGCCCTCCTCCTACAAAGCTTGGCATTTATGTGGCGATCTGAGCTTAAAGACCTTTTGTAACTTAATGAGCAGAGCACAGGTGTGCGTTTTTTATTTTTCTCTACCGGTGAATCTCAGGAAAGAATTAGGCTCGAAGTATCAGCAGACAGGTCCTACACCGACCTCAGGAGAGGGGCAAGGCGAGCACCTTATCCGGGAGCACCTAGGTCCATTTAAAAGGTTGCCTTTTTGGTTAGGGCAGGTTGTACAAAGAAACACATTGTGTGGATCACAGCTGGCTGGATTCAAAACTTGAAAAAGGAGCCAGTAGAAGATCCAGACACTTGCATCTCAAGGAAAGCTCCATTTCCAGTTATTTGACCATTCCTACAATGCTAGTTGTCAGGTGTTAAGCATTTGTTCCTGCGGTTCAGTGTGTTTGGTGCATCCGGCCTTGCTAATGTGTTCTGTAATCGTGTGGTCTGCTGGACCCGCGTTAGCAAATGTTGCAGAGAGCGCCTAGGGCCAGGTGGAAAAGGCAGTGGAGTTGCTACTACTGTGCGGAATCCCTCAGGTAGCTTTGAACAGCCATTTTGCCCTACGCCCTAGACTGGCGAAACTCTTGCTGCCTGAATGACAACGCTGAATGATTGCTTCTGTGGTCTCAGTAGAAGATTTATAACTTTATAAATTATTTGTAGCACACCTACCTTATTTTGCATTTCTTGCAAGCCTTTATAAGTGAACTAGCATGCCTTAGATACTGGTTAGATACTAGTACAGATACTTAGCAGAGATTCTGTCTAGCGAGGAAAGGCTGAGGGAATAAGGAGGTGCCGAATGAGTTCGTGGAGGAACTGCACTGAATCCAGAAAGGGTGTCCTTGCTAGCGTATGGCCCGGCGGCCGTTCACTGCGGATTGAGCATGCAGATCATGTTTTCCTCTTAGAGGGCTGGGGATGGCAGGGCGTGTCGGCCTGCCTGCCTGCCTGTCTGATGAAGTAGGGCGCAAGTTCTAAATGGAAATCCTCTGGGGTTCCTTCTTGGCGTTCGCCAATTCCAGTATTCCCTTCCCAAATAAATAAGGCAGGGAAGTAAGTTCTAATCTGTTAACAAACCCTAATATTATGCCAGCAAATTGGATTGATTTTTCTTGGCTTTCCTCTCTCTCTCTCTCTCAAACAAAATTTTATTTAGCAATTGATAACAAAGAAAAATGGCTCTCCAGGCAGATTCAGGGTTGCCTGCTTATTGCAGAAGAACACAGACCCTCTGAAGAGAGAAGAATGACAACGACGGGGCCAAACGTGTGTGTGGTGGAGCAGAGAGAATGGACTGCCCGCCACCTCCCAAGCGACGAGGGCTTGGTGGGTCAGCAAAAAGCACTGACCTTGGAAAGGCCTGGAGGAACGCTTAAGGAGGGGATATTCCAAGGACTCAGCTCGGCAGCGGTTACAGAACTATGAAATCGTGGAGCTGGAGCGGCCAAGCGGGCCAGCGGACCTGACCCTCTCCTCCGGGCAGAAATCTCAGCCAGACGCCTGCTGGGTCTCCGGTCCACAGCCAGGCGGCTCAGGCCGCCAGGAGGAGGTTTGATTTGGCTTCAGCATTCACTGGGAAGCTGCCCTTTGGTAAATGTAGCCCATAATCCGGTGTCCTCCAGCGTGGAACAACAGGAACAGGTCTTGACCTCCTTCTGCGAGACTTCATGAAAGGGTGCCGTCACAGTCCCCTCCGTCGCCTTCCCTCAAGGCTGAATGTGCCCGGCTCCTTCAGCCTCTGTTTGAAGCCGCTGCGCAACCACCTTCTCCACGGCCTTCCCCAGAAAGTGAAGGTTGGAAACTGGGCTAAACAGTCTCGCAGCGGCCTCTTGATCACCCCCCAAGAGGAGTCCATCACCGCCGAGACCCAGCCACACGTCCCCTCTCGGGAGGCCTTGGCCAGCCCGGAGGACATGGGTCCGAAAGAGAGGTGGCTGAACCGTCAGCCGCGAGGGCCCTGCCCGCTTCCCCAGGCCTGGCAAAAGGAAACGGATCTTTTCCGACCCACCTTCAGCCCCTTTTCTCGTTATCTTCCCTTGCCATAGGATCCCGCTTATCTTTGCTCTGAGTTTATTTAGCACAGGGTTAGAACTCATAATGTCATAGCAATAAAAGTCAGCTGTCTCTGGCTACAATGCTGGTCCAAAAATATTTTGCTCATCTGCCAAGAGTTTCAGATCAACTTGGCAAGTTTCTAATTTTAAACGCTGTAACAGGAAAATGCTCCCTCATTTTCTATGCATGCGAAAACACTAAGAAGGCTTTCAGCACAGAATAGCACAATCCAGCGACATTGGCTGAAGGCGCTTATCCAGGACTGAGAGGAAAATGACGCTTCCTCGTGTTCGCTACAGTTCTCTTAATGCTTCCCATTTTGGCATCATGATTTGGGGGAGGCAACTATCATATTAATATATCTCTTAAATGCAACTTTCTACAAGTTGGCAACTTCCAGATGCCTGGCTAAACATCCTGGCTGAACATTCTGGGCATTGCCAACCCGTTATATTTGGACTGGGAGCCACCAGGTAGAAGAGTCTATTTTAAAGTTTGAAAATGGACAAAAAAGAGAAGTTAAGAAAAACGATCTTGTACTTCCTAGAATCTTTCCTAAGTTGCAGGAGAAAATGCCTGAAGTCTCTGAATTTTTTGCTTTCGTTAACCTGCCTAATGATCACCACACTTCTTCCAGTCCGTTGTTCGCCAACTCACCCAACAGGGGAGATGTAAATGGACTATGAGAAGTTAGTAGAGGGGACTATTGCAGAATTATAAATGGCCAACAGCAGGGTTTTCGCATGACAATGTTTTAAATATACGATGAGGAACATCATATTTTTAGATAATCAGCCATCTGTTTAGGACCATGCATTAGAATAAAAGTGAATTAATGAAGAAGCACATGAGAGTCTATTTAAAGAAGGAGGAATTTGGGGAAATTCTTGCCTGTGGAAGTCAGTAATCCCATCCCACCTCCAAAGCCCCCCAGGCACAGCATTTTGGCTTTTTCCCAGCCCCCAACATCAATTGAGGTTCCTTTAAGGCCTGGATGTGTTGAAGGGGAGGCACGGTTGCTTAGGGCAACCAGATCTGGCTGCCAAAATCCCAAAAAGTAACAGAGGGTTGGTGTTCTCTGTGCCTCCAGTGTCATCTAGTGATCAGCTGGATCTTGGCACCCAGATCTGGTCGCCCTAGGTTTCTAGCAGGCCCACCACGGTGGAGAGCGGGCAAGGAGGCATCCCGTTCCTCTCCCAGCTCAAAGGCCAGTCTCCTATAGCTAAGAGAAGTCTGTGGGGCAGATGGCACATGGTTGAGGGGAGGGGGGTTTTTGCCTTTCCTAATCCCTTCTCTCTCTCTGCTTGTCTTTGTGTTCAGTTGTGCGGCTGTGGGCTCTTGGGCGTGGGAATATGGCTCTCGGTATCCCAAGGAAACTTTGCCACGTTCTCTCCCACTTTCCCATCACTGTCGGCTGCCAACCTGGTCATTGCCATCGGTACCATTGTCATGGTGACGGCCTTCCTGGGCTGCTTGGGTGCTATCAAGGAGAACAAGTGCCTCCTCCTAAGCGTAAGTTGGCCCTGCCAGAGTGGTTGGTGTGCGGGTCTTCTCTTTCCTCGTGGTTGACCTGAGAAATTGCCTTTTCCCCCAAAGCCTCCGCCATCTTAGGAGCATCCAGCTTGACACCCAAGCCAAATAATCAGTAAAAGTGAGCCTAGGTTTCCTTTTTGTAAACTGGATAGTCCAAAGCTCTCTGAGCCTTTGAAGAGAAAAATAAGTTGTCACTGAAAACCAGCTTTGCTAAGATAACTTTATCATAATAGGTTTATTGGTTTTACAACCTGCCCAGATTCAAAGACGCGGAGTGGAACAAATCCATCTTCAGTTCCGTTTAAAATGAAACAAGGGAGGGGACTTTATTAAGTTCCAGGAGAAGGGATCCCAGTGTGGGCCGCCATGGAGAAGGCCTGTGTGCCCCTAGTTTCACACTGAGGGGGCACTCTTAACTGGCTCCCCAAAGTGTTCCAGGCAGATTCAGTTCTGGCAAGGGGGTGCCTGATACAAACTGGTAGCCAGGGCATCAATTGCAAAAGAGGTTGACCAACCAATAATCTCACTGCCACCTTCTGGACCATCTGTGGCTTCCACATTGTCTTCAGAGGTTGCCCCTGCTGAGCCCTTTACAATAATCCAACCGATCAAGCTGCCATCACCAAGGCCTTTGGTTCCAGGTGGAGTCAGAACTGGCACATCAGCTGGAGCTGGGCAAAGCCCGCCCCCCCCCCCCCCCCCCCCCCCCC